AAATGATTGTCAGCATTGATACTTTGCAAAATGTTTGCCAAACAGTCGTGGTGAGGCAGACTTCCAGGATACATTCATGCAGTTGCCAATAGTGTTAATTTTGTTGATATTTTGTTTGAGGTCTTTATGTCTCAGAGAAATCTAGAAATCATAGGATTATATTATGGAATCAACCAAGAGACTCAATTAAAACAGCTTAAATAGTTTTTGTTCTGCGGAAGGCCAGAATTCAGGACTTTAGTTGGTTAAATACGTAAGAAGCTGGATCAAATCTAGTGCAGCAGCACTTTCCAGTTCCCAGACTATTTTGCTTTAAAAACTATGCTATTTCTTTCTTAAACCCTCATCAGATATACGCTCCTTAATTTATTTGTGCATTAGGACAACTGTTAAACCTGTTATATTAAAATACACATTTTCTAGTTTTAAAGCTGGCATTTTCCTGTAGAAGCAGTTCAGAAGATTGTTTTTGAGTAAAAAAAATAATACTTTCACAATAATGTGAATGGTCAATTCTTATATATGAAAATTATGTTCCAATATAAACATCCTTGAGTTCTGTTTTCCATAAGAGAATGGAAAAGGAAGTAGTGTTTTTTTCTAAGCTTACCAGAAACAAAACTGTATAGTTGCTAAGTTTTCTCCTGCAATTAAACGGAAAGGGCATCTGTGGGGCTTATTCTGGAATCCAGTGGCATGCTTTTTGGGATTTGTTCTTGGACACTGCAGCGCATGTTGCCACTCTTAAGTCACATTTATTTCATAGTATTTTTAGATTAAAGAAGATTTAATTTTGACTATGATGAGCAATTGATTTTGATGACTTCAAAAAACATATTGAACATTGTGGTGACAAAACAGAACTGCAAGCGCTGCAAACTTAAGTGGTTGTTAGCATGAGAAGTAATTAGAAATAACAGCTCTCTACATGAAAACAATTATCCAAAGCTTAAGAGGCGTCTTTCTCAAGTCTGTAACACAATTAACCTCAAAGTTATCTAGTAAAATGAAAGCTCCTTTCTTTCATAAGAAGCTGGTAAGGGTCATGCTATGTGAATAAGAGAAAGAGAATAAAAAACAAGAAAGAGAAATAAGAAAGAGAGCAGTCCAGTTTCAACTCTGTGTAGGGCAGGTCTTAAACCTATGCAGAATGTAGATAGATTACACATCTCTTACTATAAATTGATGCAATGCAAAAGCATATAAGGAGAGAAAAAGGGTGTTTTAGTCTGGCCAGAAAAAGTCTTTAAAATAGCACAGGAAAACAAGAAACTAAAGGAGCTTTATAAGGGGCAGGTAAATTTAGGGCAATAAAGAATGTAACTTACAAAACTTGATTGGCATTAACAAGTGATTACAAATTATGCTTATCAAATATAGTCTTGTCAGACTGTTCTACGTAGGGATCAATGGGCCAAGCACCTATTCCTGTGGTACACTAAAATAGTTACAGCATAGCAGTTATATTTTTGCAGCCATAACCTTCAGCTTTTAAGCAAAACCAGAAGTATTTGTATTTTGGCAACAACCTGAATTGTATATGTTAAAGTATCATAGAGGGAAGTTTACTTCATATCCACCTCTGTATAGGTACTCTTCCCATTTCTGAACTTCTCTAACTGGAAAGAAACTTAAGGTCTGGAAGTCCACTCCCTATTCCAAAATTTGCCAAAGATCTGCAGACTTTGATCAGTATCCAGTCTACTTTGAACACTGTCCTCTTCTGTGTCCAGTGTTATGTGTCTAACCTAAGAAGGTAAATAACCTGTGCATTGTCATCAGGAGTTGGTAGCTACAAAATTGAAACGTATTGAAAGGGTTTGATATAAGAAATGTGAAAGTATTGTCATATACCAGTATTATTTTAAGCACTGAAGCATTATGAAGAGTGCTATGACAAGTTAGGCTCTGAAATTACCTACTGTGTGTTAAGGAGAAATAAAATTGTAGCAACTGAAAAAACAGAAGAATAATTAAAATATCTAAATAGAGAAGAAAAATCTTAAGATAAATGCAAGTTGGTTTATATATATTCCACTAGTATGTGCTGCAACCAAAATGATCTTTTTTCATAGACTCTGTTTATATATATATATTTACAAGTTATTTATTACCTCACTTAAATAAATGTCAGTGTCATAGCTGTTAAGTCCATAACCTCTTGCATTAATCAGATTATACTGAGTATCTGGGGAGTTAGAAAGTCTGAGATGGTTCTTTAATAAATAAAAATGTGTAAAAGCTGTGTAAAATTTCATTGAGAGTTGTGGGACTTGGAAACTAAATATTCTAAATTTGTATAGAATCAAAAATAGTGTCCTCAGCCTGTTCTTGGATTGCCAAAAAAAGCATGCACATAGCCAAAATGCAGGTAAATCTGAGGTGTTTTCTTGGAATCTCTTACAATGTAGTAAGGTGGTCTGTTTCCCTCTTGCGAGATCTCTGTTGTGCCGAAAAACACCACCACAAGCAAACTTGCTCTTCTTTTGTTTTGTTTTGTTTTGTTTTGTTTTGTTGTGGTTTTTTTTTTGTTTTTTTTTACTATTTTGAACAATCTTTCACATACATAAAGTAAATTCTGCTCTTTATTCTGATGGCAGAATCTTTCTGGGCTCATTACCCATTATATAATTGAAAGAGTAATCTGTTTTCATTCACAGTGTTTATAAAGGATGCTCATGGACAGTTTCTTTTGGATCTTCTGTATTGTTCCTGAGACACATGTCATTCTGAGATGACTTTTTTTTCCATCCTGATTATCTTGTATAGTATCTAGCTCTTTTATACCAAGTGATAACTTCCATAAGGGTTTTCTCCTATTCTTAATGACTGCTTCAAGGCTGTGCCATTTCTATGCACGAGTAGTCTATACATAATATTATCATAGATCTATGCTATTTAAAATAACAACAAAAAACTCCTCTGAATCCTGAACTCACTTGGCCTTGAAGATCCACGTGGAAGAGCATGGTTTCTTTTTCTTGAAGGCACAACATTACTTTTATACCCAAGAAGAAATTCACTGTATACACAATAATAAAGAACAATTAAGAATTGTTCTTATAAATGGAAATGCCAAATAGAAGTTCATCTACAGGCTATTTTCCTGAATACTCATTCCCCTATGAGTTGGGGAAATTAAATTAGATGAATTGTGTTATTTAAATGAAATACTGAAGCAACTCTGAGCATACAGAAAATACTGTAATCTAGAAGCGTATTTGTCCTTGTTTATACAACCTTTGGTTAACCGAGATTCCTGGTTAACTGAAAGTTGGTCGTGTCCCCTGACAGTCATATGCATTGTGTATTACTCCCCTGCTTATCCGGAGAGACATCTGAAACCTTCGGAATAATGAAGTTGTGGGTAAGTGGGTGAGCGCTGCATGAAGCACATTGCTGTCTGGGGACATGACCAACTTTCACTTAACCAGGCATGTCAGTTAGCAGGAAGTTAGAAAAACACATTGCAGGAGATGAAGTGTGTGTGTGTGTGTGTGTGTGTGTGTGTGTGTGTGTGTGTGTGTGTGTGTTTATTAGCTCTCTGCTGTTAGATGGTTTGTATCAAAGTACATATTCAGGAGAACTGCAAAACAAGCCTGCTCTTTGCAATTAACCAGGGGCTCCATGTCATTTGTGCTATGACCTTTTTTTTGTTAGTTGACCTTAAACGTAGCATAAGTAAACAATAAAAGTCCTTGAAACTAAACATCTGAAGGTATTCTGCAGTATCAGGCTGCTTTTGGTTTATTCATTAAATTCAATTGAATTTTAATTGCGATGTTAGATTCACAGCTGGTTAGGCTGGCTAGGTAGAGCAGCAATATCCCGCAAGCAATTCAAATGTGATAGCATATATGCTTTGTGATCGCAGAGACGTGTGCTCTCAGAGAGCAGTGGTAAAGGGCAAAGACGGCCAATAACAGCACTTCATTTCTGTAGTAGCAGCATCTGTTTAAATGATTGAGTGGCATTCACAAGGCTCTTTGGCTTTGCGTTCTGTTAGGAGGATTGCAGCTGTAATACAAGGCTGTTTCTGGGAGGCAGGGGGATGCTTCTGAAAGGCTGACTGATTTCTGTCAGCAGAGGTGATCCTCTGTGGGTGAAGGAGCTCTAAGGTCATCCTCTGAAAACTCAGCTACCCTGTAGCTACAGAATAATGTGTGCTGCAGTGTTGCTCTGAGAGGAGGGACTGGCTCTGTAAGTGGAGGGAAGAAGAGCTATTCTCAGCTAGCAGAGCACAGTCAATGACTCCTGGGTGGTTTGGATGTCGGAAAATGCCTGAATCTATTGTTAAATATTTGCAATGTAAAAGCGAATCTGTGTCTCATGATGTAGGTGACCAGGAGCTTGGGTGTTGCAGTGAAAGGTGACATATACAATAATAGATGAGAATCCAGTGTTGTTATAACTCTAGCAATGGGAGGTGAAAATCAGAGTGTTCGGAGTGGTGCCTCCATCTGCCTTCTGGTACTCTGGAGAGAATGGGTCTAGGATAGCAGCACAGGAGAGACTGTGTTATTAAGGACTGCAGCTTCTTACCTCTTTACACATCTCTAATGAGAATATATATTATTTAAGAATTCAGTTAACAACAAATGGGGAAAGGAAGGCACAGAGCATGGCAAGAGAAACGATGTTGGTAAAAATTTGTGTTTAAGTGCATTTAGATCATACCTAGTAGTTTACTTGATTTAGAGAGGTACTTAGTGTAGGGTCTGAGAGACTTGGAAATACAGTGAAGTTGACAATAACAGATACTTTGTCCGTGCAAAGGGGTCTTTAGCACAGACAAGTCAAGCCTTGTCAAGCCACCACTAAAACATAGGCGTGTTCAGACATGTGGTATAAAATTATTCCTTGGAGCCTACTACTGCATTCTTGGACTTCACTTGGGAGGTTGCATTATCTAGATGTTAGTGGCACTTAATACTGCCTTTTAAATCAAGTGTGTTCACAGATCCTTACTTTCTTTTTTTTTTTTTTCTCCCAAATTTTAGGATTAAAGAGCCCCTTCAGGACAGTGTAATAGCCACCTATGAAGAACATGAAGATAGTGTATATGCAGTTGAATGGTCCTCAGCAGACCCATGGCTATTTGCCTCTTTAAGTTATGATGGGAGACTTGTTATTAACAGGGTACCCAGAGCTCTTAAATATCACATACTGTTATGACTTGTTCGGATCATGATGGAGTTGTTATCTTGATGTACACAATTGGTAGGTATTGTTTAGGGGGTTGGGGTTTGGTGTTTTTTTTCAGGATCTGTTTTTACTAAGTATAAATGATGAAATTATGTTAATATATGTGCTAATGTAGACACTTTTGTCTCTGTATTTGCCTTGGAAACTGATACATTTTCTGAAGGCTGTTCTAGTTAGATGTTTGTTGAGGTTTTGGGTTTGTTTTGTTTTAGGGGCTAATCACTTTGTCAGCTACAAAGTTTCTGGAGATAATGAGTACTTCCCATACTATCACTATATTACTTCAGCTTTATGCAAATATAGTGGATTACAGAGGTATTATTATGCTGATTTAAAAGTGGAACAATGTAGGGTGCATGTAGCAGAAGTAATCTACTCATTTACAAGAATAATATTTTATCTTTCTGATGTGCACAGCTTTCTGCTCTTAGCTAGGGCCACATTCTGCTAATGATTCTGGTCATTCTTCAGTGTTTATAAATACAGTTTGGAATGGTCTTTTACGGCTTTCTTAATTCAGTCTAATATTTTAGACACTTTTTTCTACCATTTGGCATATCCTAAAAAGAAATGCTAATTGTGAAGGGGAAGCCATCGAAATATATTTTTCATTTAAACCTTATGGCTGTATCATAAAGTACCATCCTGTAATTTGCAAACTAAATGCAATTTTGAGCTGTGTGTTGTTGCAATCAATATTAGTCTTTACCAAAATCTCTTGTATACTCATGTAATGTATTATCCCACTTTTACAAAACTTGTTTGTGCTGTAATGTATTTTGAGGGACTCTGGAGCTATGCCATTGTTAACCTGAAAAATCTCTTTAATATTTGTAAGTAGTCTCTCTCTCTTACGCTTTTGGCTCTGTGCCATTCTGTAGTAAGCTGACATGATGTAAGAGGCTTTTTAACTAAGCACAAAATAACCTTTGTTATATCTTACTCTTTGCAATACCTGCCCTAGGCATTGGTGACTATCTTGTTACAGATGCTGAGAACAGGCAGATGCTGCTGTGCAGGAGAATGCAGGGAAATCTTGAGATGTAGATGGAAGGCATGGTGAAACATGCCTGTATGTGCTGACACCCACCCTTCTCTTTGCATAGCTTGCATTAAGATGGAAATTCTGCTGCTTATTCTTTGTGTACTCGGTACACAGCAGTAATTTATTCCCTGTCACCTTTTAATTGCTATTATTTCACATTAATTTTAGAACCTGGGTATGTGCGGTGGTGTTGGTTGCAGTAGCATTGTGTTAAGACCACTCTGAAGAAATGGCAATGAATATGGGATGGAAAGATCAATCCCAGCCTCTTCCAGTGATTCCTCCTGTTGCTATGGCAACTGTTGGTGTTAGGGTTGAGGGACAGCCTGCTGCTCACCTCTGTCCTTACCCACTCTTGCATCAAAACACGTTCGAATGTGGCTTGTTGTGTGTACACAGCAGCTTCAGTGAGATCACACAGCATGACTGACTGATGTAAGCCAAAACATCCAGAAAAGATGGAAGTTGACTTCTCTTTTTCTGGCTTTCTTAAAGAGCTTGTTTGGAAGAATTCATAGGAGTGAAGTAATCCAATGAAATCATCTGTATTATTGTTTGTATTTATGTTACAATGCTGCTTGTCTGCTCCAGAATGAATACGTCATTGGAAATTCTGATGGTCTGATTTTCTGCATTAAGATTTTAAACTTGTGTTATTTCACATTGTCTCAATCTGTAATTAGGCATGAGCTATTCACCTGTACACTGGGAGAAAAATTGCATTTCCAAATCAGTAGTGCTTCAGTTGTCTATCAAAATCCTTGGCTGGGCTGCAGCTGTATATATGGAGCTTTAAATCTTCAGACAACCTTGTTGGTTCTTCGTGTTGTGGTGGTGTCCTCCCTGCTTTCTCCACACCCCAAACAACAAAACCAACCAACCAATTTAAAAAAAAAAAAAGGCAACTAAAAGACCCACCAAACCCCAAACTAAACAAACCGTACCAAAACAAGCAACCACCCTACAGCAGGACTCTTTAAACTTTCTTCACATTAGCAATAAAGGTCTAATGAAACTTTATTATCTGTTAATGTATAAGGATACCAGTATGAAGGTGATGGGAAATTACATAAGAGTATGTGGGATTTGATATTTAAAATATAATAAATGTGGGACAGCTTTCACACTGTATTTTATGTGGCTGTGTTTCCTTTAATATTGTAAACTTATAAAGGCTGGAAAGCCCTGTAAACAGGTAATACCAATAAATTATTTGTATTTTAGTTTCGTAAAACGCGTGTGTTGATAAGGAAGAAGAGAGGGGATGGCAACTGGAAAGGAAGGCAGTAGCAGGTTGAATTTGAATGAAAGGCATTACAGTAGAATAAAGAGAGCTGGAAGGGTCAAGTTTTAATCATTTTCAGCTGTTCGTAAAACGGGATTTGAGCTATGTGTACAGCACCGATAGCAATATCGAAATGATCTGCAGAAAGGGAAGACTTTTGAACAGGTTTCATCCCAGGCTGTTAGAGAAAGCAAGCTGCTGTAGGATAAGAGGAAGGGTTCGAAGATGTTAAATAACTGATTAAAAGGTAAGAAATAGGAAGCAGGAATAAATAGTCACGTTTCACAGGAAAAAGAAGTTACCAAGGAAGTCTGCAAGGATCTATGCCTAGGCCTGTGCTTCACAGCATATTCATGACCTTTTTGGGAAAAGGGCTGCATAAAAATGTGTCAAAGTTTGCAGGTACTGTTCAGAGTAGTAAAGATGACTGAAGAATTATGGAAGAGCCTTACCTCACAGAGTGTCTGAATGATAAAACAGTAGGTGAAATTCAGTGCAGGAAATGTGAAGTAGCAGATATGGCAGAAAATAGTAATTTTCTACCAAGATACAGCTATGACTTTGAAGTAAGGTTAGGGTTTTCATAGATTTTTAAAGGTGTCATCTTAATAGATGTTAAAATTGTAATTCAGATGTTGGGAATTACTAGAAAGCAAATAGAGAAGAAAATAAAGCATTGCTGGTCTATGTGCCTCTTGAATACTGTGTGTAGTTCTGGTTTCTTCTATCTGAAGCCCAATGTAGTAAAACTGGGAAAGGTTTTAGAGGAGGGTGACAGGAATGATGAATAGCATGCAACACCTATATGAGGATAACTAAGTAGACTGAAAGGCAGATGGTTGAGAAGAAATGATAAAAGTCCATAAAATCACAAGTGGCAGAGGGAGAAGATGAATAGGGAGCGATTGTTCACTGTGTCTCCTGATACCAAAACTGGAGGTTATTAAATGGAATCTGCATGTGGCGGCTCTTGGCATACAAAATGAGGTGATCTCCACAGGCATGAAGGTGAGCTGTGGCACTCCTCTTTAACAATCCCTTCTCCCTGAAAAAAAAAAGCAACACCAAAACACCCAAAGAAACAAACAGACAAAAAAATCTTATTAACATTAAAGTTTACATGACCTGAAAGTCACTGAACTGGTACTTGAAACATGAATCCATTAAAGGCTGCTGAATATAAAGACAGCACCACTGGCTTAGAAAATCCTTTTGAACCATGAATCGCTGGACATTACTAAGAGCACTGGCAGAGAATCCCTGTATGTTTCTCCAGTCTTGCCTTACCTCCCTGGACTTTTTATAAGTCAATCTGGCTAAAAGGGGAGAAATCTGATAGACTTGTTATTATTGAAAAGTCTGTTATGAAAAGTACAAATCCATTCACAATGGGAGCTATTTAATCCTTCACAAAGCGAATACCAGAGAGCTTCAACAACTGTTCTGACCATACTGTCAGTTGTGAGTGACAGTTACTTGGATTCAGTTTCCTAGATAGATGCATCTTTCTGATCTGTGTTTTAATCATCTATTTTCAGTGTTAATACTATTTGAATATCTTCAACCTATTGTTTGAATGACTTGGATAAATGCTGTACAGTTTTCTATTACAGTTCACAGGCGCTTGTAAGAAAGAGGGAGAAGCTGCTTTTAAGTCTTCATGCTGCTGTATTGGTAGGTATTCTGGTTTCTGTTCCTGTGTCCTATACGTCAAGGCTCAAATCACAATTTAAATTCTACAGGTTTTGGACTGGTCATTGCTGAGGGCCGAGAAGAGCTATGGATGAAGGCTGAGCATGTCTGACATGTTCATGTTCATCAGAAAACAGTCTGCTGGAGAGAATGAGGGAATAATTGTTGCACTGCTCCCTCCCTCACTGCTTGTGCATAAAGACATAGGCTGCGGCGAGGAAGCTACCTGAGGTTATTAAGATTAATACTGCTAGAAATTCCAATCAGCTCACACAAGGCTGCTCCTCAAGGCTGTCAGATGCCTACTGCCTTCTCTGATTCAGGCAGGGCCACATCAATTTCGAATTTCCCGACAGAGATTGCTATGATTTATGAGTTTAGGAGGCTGATAAATGTGGTTAGTTGAAGTGTTCATGAAATAATTGAATCAGAATAATTTCCGTCAGCTGTGCTCAATTTATTTTCTCCCATAACCACAGGAGGGTGCAGTTTTGGATTGGGAGCTTCATTTCAAGGATTCTTATCACAGGAAAAACATTGTGGAACCTGGAATAAGAGCAACTTAATTTTGCTGCCAGGCCTGTATGACAGCCTTATGAGCTGACTTAAGACCCATCAAAACTGGAGAGAAAGTACCTTGAGGTCTTCTGGTATTGCCCATGACAGAGACTGAGTCAGTTCTGGTTTATGCATTATGGGATAATGTCTGCTGGGAAGAATAATGAGAGATTTACTATTAGTGTTTTAAAAACACTTTACTGTTTAGCTGGGAGGTTGTTAGTTTTTTGCACTTGCTTGTAGCAAATTATTTTTATAAGATGAGTTTTCCATATTTTTCACTTCCGGGTTGTGAATTTTCCTGGAGTGGTTATCAGCATCAGTTCTGCCCTTACTGTGAAGGGAGTGCTCATGCATCCCTGAAGAGTGTTACGTCAAACTTTTAAAAATAAATTTCTCCCTATGAGTTTATAATTTGTCTGCTGTAACTTTCCTGCATGGCTGAAAAGGAATCACATTTTGGATAGATTTTCCTAGAAAGCATACTGAATGTAAAGGGCCCTGTAAAACGGGAAGGTGAGCAGGTTACAGTGTTGTGGTGGCAAATATTTTCCCGTTGTCATCATCATGAACAAAATAATAATCAGAGCTTCAAAATCAGAGTGGAGGGTATGTGGGGAAAAGGCAGTGGTTTGGGTGTCCCTCTGTGTAAGTCAGTTCACGTATCTTTTGAGATGTGCAAACAGGATACAGGCAAAAAATGAACAGGCTATTAGGCCCAGCACGAGTGTAATCCCATTCTGGTAAGTGAATTTTGCTGGTCAGGAAATTGTCAGTAGACTGGGGAAGGGTTGTCCTCTGTGCTGCTTGGAACACAGTTGTACAGTTGCCATCTTCCAGGTCCATTTATCCCATTAGGATTTATACCTTTGCATTTGGTGTCTTTTCCCTATTGAATTCTTTGAGTTGCTAACATTTCCTGCTGCAGCAGTGTTACCTCTCTGCAGTTTTATATTTATCATGTGTGGCTTGTCCCCACAGACTTTCTTATGACCTTTTCTCACAACTCAACAGCTTTTTCAAAAGTCATAAAGTCATGCCTATAGGTGGACAGCATGCCAGCTATAGATGACAAAGGGTTGCTGAGAGAGCAGCTTTCTCAAGAGTCCTGCTCTGTGTAAGGTTAAAATGGGCAGGTGTATTCTGTGGAGAGCCAGGTGTGTAAGTTGCCAGTAGAGAGATGCGTTACTCTAGATGGTTTGTATCAGCATAGATATACCGATGATCGTATGACATAACCTGGCCCACATGTGAACTGTTCTCTGGGCACCCATGGCTGAAGAGCTATGTGGGAGGTAATTTTACCATGTGGTGAAGAACGGCCCTGCGCATGTACAGGAAGAAATGTATCTGCCTGAGCTGTTATTTTCAAAGTTCCCTTGCCTGGGAACCCAAACATTCTAGGATTTTTCATTAACTTAAAGTTTATTTTCTTTTTTATTATTCTTTATTATGTCCATGATCTTTACTTTGGGGAAGGGGGTGGCAGAATATGGGGGAAACACTAGGATTTGGGAGTGAGGTATTCTGACTGCATAGAAAGACTTGTGACCCTAATGTCAAGTGGTACATGCTTTATAGCCCAGTACAGCAATCTGTGTGGTGGGGCAGATCAGACTTTGGTGTTTCAGCCACATCAAGCAGCAGTATTGAGGAATCAGCTGGTGCACTCAGTTTGTATTGGAAAGTTAGTGGTATACTGAATAGCAGAGTCCTGTTAAAATTCAGCTATCCAAGTTTGGTGACTTTTCTGTGAGTACATATTAATTCCAGGACTTAATTCATGGTGGTTCTTTTGCTTCCAAATAATTTGGTACCATCCCAACATACTGTAACTTGTTTCTGTAAGTTATATAAATGCCTGTTTTGTATATCTTAAAGAATGTCCTGTGGGGTCTAGGATCTCTTAGTGACATGTGGTCAGTATTGTGGCAGCATTATCCTGTCCAGCTGTATAGGATTAAGTAAATTAATTTAAGAGATTGTTGCCTAAGGCTTTACCTTCTTCCCTTTTTCACTATCAGCAGTTAGGAAGATGCTTCAATGAATAACTCTTACTGAATCTCCTTGTTGAGGTCTTCTTGCCATGAAATGTAAGCTGTATCGGAGAAGGGTGAGGAGGACATTGTGGAAAATCTGCTGCTTAGTCAGGATGTGCATATAAACTACAGAACATTTTCCAAATCAAATTTGGATTTGGGACTTAGCATAAAATCAGGGCACAAGAATAACTACTGTCTGTGCAGAAAATGTTAATAGAAAAAGTCCAGATTACAGTAATGCATTCTGTGTGGTCTTTGGTGGGTAAAGAACAGTAGAAGGGCACGTGGCAGGACTGTCTCACTTGTAGTTTTCCTTCTACTGCTGTGAAAATCATTTTCAATACTTGCATAATTTAGAGCATGACATTATGATTTTCAAAGCTTCAAACTGGAGTAAAGCATTTACATAATCTAATTAAATCATATAAATGTTTTATAATAAGATTCAAGTAAGTGCAAAACTTGTTCTGCAGATGCATCCTATTCTTAGGCCATTGGAGAAACCCGGTTTACACATGCAAATATACGTTTCAAGCCCTGCATGCTT